AGATTGGTCTGTAGTCTTTGACTACCGGGGGTACGGCGTGCTGAAGTTAGTGGTGTGCATTGTTTTTGCATTTTTTTTGCATCTTCTTTTGTAGGTTAGTGCTTTTTGTTTTAGACGGCTTCTTGCTTGTATTGGTAGGCTATAAGCCGACTGGAATGCAACTTTTCTTCGCTTGCAGCTTTGTTTGGTTCACGTTGGTTCCAAACATTGTTGGATCGTGCTCATGAGTATGCCCTGGCGCTGCTTGACTAGAGGTTTTGTTCGTTAGGAGGTTGAATATCTTTCGACGGAACAACTTTGATGGGGGTTCTCCTATAGTGGGTTAAGTTAGACCGAGCGTGATGACGCTGACTTGGCTTAATTGAGTATCGAGTATCAGTTGGCCACCTCTTGTTTGTAGGAGTTCTCTGTGCTTATTTGCCTAGCTGGTTAGGGCTTGGTTCATGGTTGCGGGTTCCTCTTACGCATTTATCTTCCGGAGTAATCTTTCTGTGCATTCTTTTCCAACTATTGGATTGGATCATTGTAATTCTAGTTTTTTTTAGTGGAACATATCATCCCGAATTTTAATATGGAATGATGTTCGGGTTGCGATCCGTTGGGTTGAATCTGTTTCTTGTGTGATCATGCTTTTTGTAATCGTCAACGAATGTTCTTTTTCACGCACTATGTTGCCTTGTGAAGTATTCACCATGATTTAGTTGTTTTGTCCTCCTCTATGTGCAGACCTTCTGCAGATGTTACCTGCTTCTTGGCATGAATTGATCCCCCATTTTGTGTTTCCGAGTCTACATGCTTCCCCCCATGTTTTTTTTCCCTGGTTGCTGGTTCTCCCCCATCATGAGGTAATTAGGATGTGCTTCGATAACCGTTGGGGTCTTACACTAGGTATGGATATATTTCGGGTTTTCCCTGCTTTCGGCTTGCTCCAATGGGCTCATGCGTCACATTCGTCCGGAAACTATGCCCCTCCTGTGCACTTTTCATTTGCTGCGACATGCCTCCAATCTATCTCAGCTCGCCTTGTTGTTCCAGCAAGGTGGACTCATCTCAGTATACACACACACGGATGGTCTTGCGCCTCCCGGTTTGCCATCAAGGGGGTCGACTCCTCCTTGTCGAGTCTGAGGAACCGGGGCATTAGTGCGAATGGGTGTGGATGGGCTGTTTCAAATGGACGATGCCTATAGTAGCTCGGATATTGGATCTTGTTGCCGTTTGCGTTTGTCCCG